GGCCTCCCACAGTGCTAGGATTACAGGCTTGAGCCACCGCGCCCGGCCAGCTAACTTTTTGATTTTTTTGTAGAAACTGGGTCTCACTTTGTTGCCCAGGCTGGTCTCCAACTCCTAGACTCAAGCAGTCTTCTTGCTTTGACCTCTGTATTAGTCTGTTCTCATGCTGCTAATAAAGACACACCCAAGACTGGGTAATTTATAAAGGAAAGAGTTTTCATTGACTCTCAGTTCCACATAGCTGGGGAGGCCTCACAGTCATGGCAGAAGGAAAGGAGGAACAAAGTCACGTCTTACATGACAGCAGGCAAGAGGTCGTGTGCAGGGGAACCCCCCTGTATCAAACCATCAGATATCATGAGACTTATTTACTACCACAAGAACAGCATGGGAAAGACCTGCCCCTGTCATTCAGTTACCTTCCACCAGGACCTCCCATGACATGACACATGGGAATTATGGGAGTTACAATTCAAGATGAGATTTGGGTGGGGACATAGCCAAACCATGTCATTCCGCCCTGACCCCTCTCAAATCTGTCTTCACATTTCAAAACCAGTCATGCCTTCCCAACAGTCCCCAGAGTCTTAACTCATTTCATTATCATCTCAAAAGTCCATAGTCCAAAGTCTCATCTGGGACAAGGCAAGTCCCTTCCACCTATGAGCCTGTAAGTTCCAAAACAAGTTAGTTACTTCCTAGATGCAATGTGGGTACAGGGTTTGGGTAAATATACCCATTCCAAATGGGAGAAATTGGCCAGAACAAAAGGGCAACAGACCCCATGCAAGTCCAAAATCCAGCAGGGAATCAAATCTTAAAGCTCCTAAATGATCTTTTTTGACTCCATGTCTCATACCCAGGTCATGCTGATGGAACAGGTGGGTTCCCATTGTCTTGGGCAGTTCTGCCCCTTTGGCTCTGCAAGGTACAGCCCACCACCTGGCTGTTTATTTGGGCTAGCATTGAGTATGGCTTTTCCAGACACATGGTGTAAAGCTATTGGCTCTACCATTCTGGGGTCTGGAGGACGGTGACCCCCTTCTCACAGCTCCACTAGGCAATGCCCCTGTGGTGACTCAGAGGTGGGGGGTACCCAATCAACATGTCCCTTCTGCATTGCCCTGGCATAGGTTCTTCATGAGGGCTCTGTCCCTGTAGTACATCTCTGCCTGGACATCCAGGCATTTCCATACATCCTCTGAAATCTAGGCAGTGGTTTCCAAACCTCAGTTCTTGACTTCTGTGTACCCACAGGATCAACACCACGTGGAAGCTGCCGAGACTTAGGGCTTGCACCCTCTGAAGCTACATCCCAAGCTGTATGTTAGCCCCTTTTAGCCACGGCTAGGATGCAGGGCCCCAAGTTCTGAGACTGCACACACCAGCAAGGCCCTGGGTCTACCCCACAAATCCATTTTTTCCTCCTAGACCCCCAGACTTGTGATGGGAGGGGCTGCTGTGAGGACCTCTGACATTCCCTGGAGACATTTTCCCCATTGTCTTGGTAATTAACATTTGGCTCTTCATTACTTAAACAAATTTCTGCAGCTGGCTTGAATTCCTCCGCATAAAATGGGTTCTGCTTTTCTGTCGCATCATCAGCCTGCAAATTTTCTCAAGTTTTATGCTCTGCTTCCCTTTTAAACATAAGTTCCAATTCCAAACCATATATTTGTGAATATATAAAACAATGCTTTTAACAGCATCCAAGTCATATCTTGAACACTTTGCTGCTTAGAAATTTCTTCTGCCATATGCCCTAAATCATCTCTCTCAAGTTCAAAGTTCTACAAATCTTTAGGGCAGGGGCAAAGTGCTGCCAGTTGCTTTGCTAAAACAGCAAGAGTCACCCTTTGCTTCAGTTCCCTACAAGTTCCCCATCTGCATCTGAGACTACCTCAGCCTGGAATTTATTGTCCATATCACTATCAGCATTTTGGTCAAAGCCAGTCAACAAATCTCTAGGATATTCCAGTCCTTCCCACATTTTCCTATCTGAGCCCTCCAAACTGTTCTAACCTCTGCATGTTACCCAGACCAAAGTTGCTTCCACATTTTTGGGTATCTTCATAGCAACACCCCACTGTACCAGTACCAATTTACTATATTAGTCTGTTCTCATGCTGCTAATAAAAACATACCCGAGACTTGATAATTTATAAAGGAAAGAGTTGTTG